AATGGGATGCCCATGACGAGGGTGTTGGGGAGGGTCGAGAGGGAGAAGAGGGTGATGGTCCAGTCGAGGGACCCGTTTTTCGAGAGGGAATGCCAGAGGAGGAGAGCCGAGAGGATGACGACTTTTTGGAGGGAATCGGCGGCTATGAAGTGGTAGTTCATGGCGTAGATGTCGTTGGTGGAGATGAAGTGGAAGCCGAGGAGTGGGACGGCGAAAACGGCCACGAAACGGTTGATACCCGAGCACTGATCGGGGGTGAAGATCTTCCACCAGCGAACCGAGCCGTACGCGAGGATCATGGCCACGTAGAGAGGGGTTATGGCCGCCAGCACGTCGTATATGTCCTTTCCGGTTATCATCTTCTTTTGTTTTTGTTGGATTTTCGATCAGCAGAGAAAAATGGAGCAACAGATAGAAAGAAGTAAAGTTTTTGTGTGATGGGATGAGAGGGAAGAAGATGAATAAGATATTGGGAGTAAGGTGTGTGTATGTTGTGGTCACATGTAAGAGGGTTAATTTATGGTTTTGATGGTGCTAAATGCTAATTTTAAGTCTGAAGTTTGAACTACTTTACATGTGAGTCAAATTTTGCATCTACCAAACGGCCTCCTGTTCATACATCCTGGTTTAAAAAGGTTAAACATTTTTTTTTAGGTACATGGACCTTCTGGTTTCCGGATCCACAGGGGAACCGACTAATCCGGAATCGAGCTGGGTAGGACCACAAGGACGGCAAAGCTCTCCCTCAAGAGTTTTTAACACTGCTGCATTCCCAGGCTCGAACACGAGACCACTGGTTAAGCTAAAAGAGACCAAAACCATCTCATCCAAGAAAAAATTATCATGTTTTTAAAATACAACATAATAATTCGGCCTTTTGTAAATAGTTTAGGGAGATGCTACAGTCCCGTTACGGAACTATTCTGTCGGGGTTTGTAACCGTTAGATCATCGTGTAACCGTCGGATATAGTTGATCTAGCGGTTACAAACCCCGACGAAATAGTTCCGTAACAGGACCGTAACATTTTCCAATAGTTTAATTTGATGATGAAAAATATAGTCGCGGCATTAAACTTTGACAAAGAATCTTCACTTTTGACTATTTGATTCTTGTTACCGTTATTCTGTTTTCAGATTTTCTAGTATAATTGATTTATAGTAGCATTTTAATTTTTAAGTACTATGTCACTGTATCATTTGTATTTTTTTTTTTAATAATGAAAAAAATAATATTAATTTTAATATAAATACATTGAAAATAAAGCATGACTTGGAATTTGGAAGACAATTTAAAGAAATTAATTTCCCCAAATAAGTACAAATGAGCAGTTGAAATATACGTCATCAAGTATTTCGGCTGCATGGCAATTGGCATTATGTGTTTCAAATCCCCAGTTTCGTGGCTCATCACATGCCAAAATGGCCACTTCAAAAGGTCCTCAAATTGGACATAACACACGGCCCAACAACAACAACAACAACAAAAAAAAAAGTCCAATAAAAATTGTTTTGTGAGGTGAAATTTTTTTTTTTTTTCGATAGAAATATTATAATCAAAGGGCATAAAAGTGCAACTACAAACTGAAAGGACAGATTAGAAGACCGCCTAGAACCTCAACTAGTCAAGTTAGAATAAGAACAAACTCAACACATAAACAGACTCAACATACTACCAACAACTAGAAACGCCCCCCACGTGAGAATAGGATCGGCCCTCACGGGTAATCAACACAGGGGCCAACGATATAGACCAAAAAAATAATACATAAAACACTTAGGTTGTGAGGTGAAAGTTGAAATATGGTTGAAGACTTCAATTCAAAAAAATAATTAATTCTTCGATGGTTGAAGACTTCAATTCATTAACAATAATTACATAAATTTTATAAATTATATATAGTATACATTTTATTTATAATATATATGTTTATATATATTATTATATTTCCTACTATTTTTATGACATAAAAAGTAAAAGCATCATAACTTAACAAATTTTCCTAAAAATATATGAAAAATAAAAACTATTTTTTTGTAATTTTAATATTTTTTAATTATATTTTTTTTGAAAAGGAATTTCGAATCGAATCGAATATGTTCGAATATTCTAAACGAATCGAATAATAATCAAAAAATGAGTTCGTTAACGAATCGAATACGAATTCGAATCTTCGAATAATTTAACGAATCCGAATCGAATCTCTGAGTATTCGCTTTGATTCGATTCGTTTACAACCCTATGCACAAGGTCGACTACGTAGTAAAACACAATTACAGACTTACCCAAATAATAAGAAAGACAAATTCTTAATTTCATAATCACTCCAAAATTTTAGTTGCTACAGCTACCCGACTACTTCCCGACCGTCTCGACACGAGCCAAAAATCTTAAGCACACTACAAAATCTTCTTTAATTTACTACAACAAACTAGTAGTCTGCCAAAGTGTCTTTCTTGTAGAGACGACCGTATAACTCAGTAACCAACGATATTCCACTAAAATCAACAAAACACATATCACTGTTTCTTCTTTTACCTTCATAATTTATCACTAACTTATAATAAATACCATAATAATAAATGTGACACACTCCCACTCTTGTCGCATATAAACAATATATAAGGATCAATATACATGAGCGTGTATTCAATTGAAACTTTTATAAATGTTTAAAATTCGCTTTATATGGTCTTCGTAGATTTGAAAGACTGGTGTAGATTGAATTTTTGGAGACTTTTAGAAAGACTTAATTGAAACTTTTAAAGACTTATAAATCCAAGTCTCAAAGTATTCAATTGAAACTTTCTCAGAGTCTTTTTAATTCACCTGGATAGTATTCAATTGAGACTTTTAGAGACTTTTATAATTCTTTAAAAGTCTTAAAGTATTCAATTGAAACTTAATTTCGAAGAGTCTCTTTAATTCACTTGAGGAGGAAAACTTACGAGACTTATTAAGTTGAAGAGTTTTGGAGGTTTTTTAATAAAATTACAAAGATAAAGTCAGTAGAAATCTCATCAAATTGGTGAGATTTTGTTGGACTTGCGTAACTCTTCAACCTCTTTTTTATATAATTTAATGTACACACCGATATATCTCATATTATTTTCGAACTCAATTATTTTACTCATTTAACTTGATAGTCTATAAACTTATTTTTTTCATCACAAATGTTCTTAAGTGATTTTTTATTTATTTATTTTAGTATGGTCATATATTTTATGTTTACTTTTTATCAGCTCATTTACTTGCTTCTGAATTTAACTTCTTAAACGCCAGATGTTTGTATAGTTTGTATAGTTTGTACTTCTTAAGAATTTCACTTTTATCAATGTCTTTTGACAATATTTATGTCTTACAAGAATATATCTTAATAATATTTTTCTAATACCGCAGCATGATACCAAAAAAAAAAAAAATAAAAAAAAATCAAAATAAAGTTCAATAATATTGACATAAATATGTCATGGGCCAAATGACTATGAGCGTTATTCCATCCGAGATGAATAACTCATTGTTTCAGTTTGGTTGTTTAATAAATAAATAAAAAGCTCAACTCGAGTTCGACTCATTGAAACTTGTGACAACTCTAATAGACTTAACACGTTAATAGACCTAAAAGCCTAAATGAGTTGTTCGTAAAAATAAAAGGTTTTTGCAAACAAGTTTGACACTATTGTGTTGCAATCCATAATTGTGTTGTGTTTAATTCATGAGTACCAACCAGAAGCAAGCTGGTAACTACCGGGGATAACACGGTCTACTTAAGTGAACCACGCGGTTAGATTCACAACTTGGATTAGCCCATTTTTCTGGATACTAAAGCGGCTAATAATTGTATTGAATCTAGAGAGCATGTCCTAGACTGTACAAGAAGTCAAATTTAATCGTAGAGCGTCTCGCGGTCAAATTAAAATTGTTTTGTGAGGTGAAAGTTTTTTTTTTTTTTTTTTTT